TTACGCCCTCAAACATAAACGAAGCACAATCACAAGTTACTCAATGGAGGTCCCTTAGAGAGAAAAGTCCTGTGTCCCAAATCGCAGCCGCGCTCCAGAGCACGAGCAACAGTTTTGTGGACAATACCCCTTGAGCAGCTCTACGCGCTCACTGCTACGCTCCTAACGAGTTCAGTAAACAATGTTTGTTAGCCTTGTCACTACATCGGGCAACTGCGGCCCTAAAGGTACTCTTTTTGCTTAAACTGCGCGCTCACTCAGCATTACCTGATTTTGGGAGTGCACTGTACCACAAAACTACGCCCAATGCCTCCCTTTTCAACAGTTTCTCTTTTCATTTCCAGCACACATCATCGTTTCTGTATGTTTACACAGATGCAACATTGGAATGGTAAAATTCTCCATAGTCGAGTCCATTTAATTCTTTGGCATCAATTCCTGTTCGACAGTCCTGTTCGAAGCCATACTGCGGGACGGTTTTTGGCGTAGTTCTAGCTCTTTTATGCAATGGCGTATACTGCGGAGCTGTCAGTGGCCATCTGTTCAGACTGACTATTAAATTATATAGAACTTCCTCAAAGTCGTGTCCACTAAGGAATGCTTGCTGCTGCTAGGTGTAGGCCTTTGGTACGGCATGTTTCAAATACTTTTTTTCTGAGTGCGCGTGCTGTTTTATAATATCTGAAGCAGATGAGGTTACTGTGCATAAAACCCACTCTTTTGCAAGTTTCATCCCCGACGTCTTCTCTGCCCCCAAAGTCCCCACCGCCTTACACGTTGTGCAACCCAAACTTGATTTTCCCCTAAAAAGCCAGGGATAGTAAGTCTGCTTCACTTTTAGCTGAGCTTCTGTCCAAACAGTTCTGCATCCCATCCCTGACCTGTCGCTCGACGTCCCACACTCTTCTACGCTCAATGCGCTCTCCTCTCCTACTGAATCTTCCTGCTGTAAGCCAGCTGATGTCGCGGTTCCGCTCGCCTCTTGCTCCGGCTGTTGTACCGGGCTAGTTGATGGCAGGGTACCCACCCGTTGCTGTTGGTGGTCCACCTGGCTGACGGTAGCTGGCTCCTGTTCCGGCTGGCGGTGAACCTGACCCGCTGCTGCCACGGTGCCAGCCTCCTGCCCGGGCTTGGCTAGCTGTCGGTTAGCTAGCTGGCTAGCTGTTGCGGCGCTAACCTCCTCCTGGTTTTGACCATCAACATGACCGCTGCAGCTGCCCTCGTCGCTGCTTGTGGAGGCTTTTCTGACTCGTTTTGAAGTGTCTATTACCTCTTCCTTCTTTTTGAAGAAAGACAGTCAATTTAACTGTCTTTTTGACATGCTTGCATTGAATCACCGTTTCTTCCTCTCTGCGACGTGCTCCTCATGTGGCGAATTTCAAAAGTGAAAGACGTTTGTCCGTTGGTCCAGCTTTTCAGTGCGTCAACACAGATCTCCGACTCTTTCAAATCTTAATCTTAATAAACGACATGAAATTCTTGGGATTTTTTCTGTAAATTAATATCTGCATATTTTATTTCATTTTAACCATTTTTTTTTTAAATTTTTTGTGAGAGGTACCGGATCTGCCCAAATAGGTGCCGGAACACAGGGTGGCCAAAATGAAGAGGTGCCGGATCCTGTTCCGGCAGGATCCGGCTCAAATTAATCACTGGGTATAACCTTATCATGCAAGCATTCACCTACTGAGACTTCTATAGATGTAGTCGGCCCTGGGGCGGGCCTACCTGAATGCGAGCACATCTCACCGTATAAAAGGAGGCTTCGCCTCCTGACGGACATCCCTTTCTCTTCAGCGAGCGGAAGTGATACACTGAGCATAGACGTGAATAAGAGAAAGAGAAATAAAGCATGGACTCACCACTCCTTGATCACCGGACCTGCCCGACATGCCCTGGCCTGATCGCGGGGGCTGATCTGCACCGCCTGTGCTTCTAGTGCCTGGGGCCGGACCACGCTGAAGACGGCCTAAACCCATCACCGGCCTGCAACGCCTGCCGAATGATCCCTCGGCTAAGCCGCAGACATCGCAGGGATCATTTTCGGGTGAGGTTCGGCCCGCAAGAGGAGCCGGAGGACCAAGACCTCGAGGTGGTGGAGATGGGGGAACAGGATGACGAGGTGCCATTCATTTTCAACCTCCCGAGGGGCCAAGGGGCCGCGTTCCCGGAGGAGGAAGACGACGAGTACGCTTTGTTGTCCGGTACTTTCGGGTCCGGCAGCCAGGAGGGTCCAGCACACAGGTCTGCGCGTCTGAGCTTCCCGGTGGTGATGACCCTAGCGGCGGAGCGTGTGGGCCTACCGCTCCCTCCACCGCTGCCATCGAGGCCAGTTTTACGGCCCGGTGCATCATAGCTGTGGCCCCGCAGCTGAGGACTTGTCCCCTAACACAATGTTATGGGGAATGGAAACTCAGCTGTGTGTTAACAAAGTGGATGGACAGGAGTCAGATGCTGAAACGGGGTTATTCACTCCAGTTTTGCAGCATCCCACCTCCATTCAAAGGCATGCGAGAGGTAAAATCTATCATCCCAGGAGGAGATGGGTTTCCTCTCGGCAGAGATTCAGGCCCTGGTGCAAAAACAGGCGGTGTCTGTTGTGCACCCTCAGCACAGAGAAAAGGGTCTTTATTCCATGTGCTTCCTGATTCTCAGGAAGAGAGGGGAATTCAGACCTATTCTAGATCTACGCAGCCTGAATCGGCACATTGCCTGCAGAACATTCTGCATGTGTATAAAACAGTTACTGGGACTGGTGCAGCCAGGTGATTGGGGGAGCAGACGTGCGTCCCTGCTTCGGGCGGTTCGCAGGCTGCGACAGGGGGCAACAGCGACAGCTTTAACTGTCATGCAGACTCTGAGTCTCATGGCGGCTGCTCAGGTTGTGGTCCCGCTCGGGTTACTGCATATGCGCCGCCTGCAGAGGTGGTTCTCCAGCCTGCGTTTATATCCCAAGAGGCACAAACCGCGTCTGGTGACCATCCCCCCCCCCTCAGTGGAGGGCATCACAGTGTTTACGGACGCATCCGGAACAGGATGGGGAGGGACCTGCCTGGGGAGAGCTATAGCCTCCAGCATTTCAAACCCTTAATTCGGGGGAGACATGCAATGGTCAGGAGCAGCCACAGGGGCATATATCAACAGGCAGGGCGGAGTCCGCTCCGCCGCTTTGTTGACCACACCGGAGAAACTGTGGTTATGGGCTTCAGAGGTGGTGTTATCTCTGAGAGCCCTCCACATTCCGGGTCTGGAGAACAGAGGGGCCTTCCCCAGTTCTGGGGGGCGATGTCTCAAGTGGCAGGTGCAATCGGGGCGTTACCCACTCTGGGCCAACCTCTCCAGGCTTGGCTCCTGAGAGGGACAGGCTAAGGCAGGTAGTGTTATTCAGTCTATCCAGGCAGCTAGAGCGGGATCCACCACAGCCTGTTACAGGCCGAAGTGGCTTGGATTCCAGCGATGGTTTGAGGAGCGGAAAATAGACCCCCTATCTTGTGATCTATTTTGTCGTACTTACAGTTATTGGTGGACAGAGGGTTTGCTCATTCCACAGTGAAAGTGTATGCAGCAGCCATCTCGTCCTGCCATGAGGGATTTGTCGGCAGGTCAGCCTTTTCTCAGCCACTGATGTTGCGGTTTTTACGGGGGGTCAGGAGGCTGCGCCCAGTAGTGCACGCCTCCGCCCCGCAGTGGGACCTGCCGCTGGTGCTCGAGGCTCTGGTCTCAGAACCATTTGAGCCTCTGGAGTCCTCCTCCCTGAAAGCACTGTCGTGGACGACAGCATTGCTACTTGCCTTAACGTCAGCCAAGAGAGTGTCCGAGTTAACCGCTCTATCAGTGTACCCGAGTTGTTTGGTGATCCGGGGTGACCAGAGCGGGGCGACACTCAGACTGAACCCGTCCTTCGTGCCAAAGAGCCTAAAGAGTGCATTCAGGTCGAGGGTTATTCAGTTGGGGGGCTTTAATCTTCCACCCCATAGTGGGACAACGGAGGCTAAATTGCACCTCCTCTGCCCGGTGCGTGCACTAGCATGTTATGTGGAGCGCACGGCTACCCTTAGACGCACTGAACAGCTGTTTGTGTGCTTCGGGGGCGGGGTGACCGGGAAAGCCCTCTCCAAGAAACGCCTGGCAGGCTGGCTCTTCGAGTGCACTGCACATGCCTGCGGACAGGCGGGGAGAGCCTTCCCCACGGGGGTCCTTGCACACTCTACACAAGCTATGGCTGTGTCAACAGCCTTAATTAACGGCGTGAGTGTGGAGGACATTATGCACGGCGGCGTCTTGGTCAACGCCAGGCCCCTTCATAAAGTTTTATTTCCTGGACATGTCTGGCTCCTTTTCATCGCCTGTGCTTGCTGGGGCAGCGCAGGACTGGTGAGGAGGGAGGGGGGCTCTGGGTCAGTGGGCATCTGACCCCCTCCCCTGGCGTAATGCGCTTATGTTTTTCCACGGGCTCCCGGCCCCGGGGGACGTGACCCAGTGTTGTTGTGGGACGACAGCGTGTGTATACATCGGAGCCTGTGTATAACCCTTGTTATATAAACAAAGGCGGAGCCCTCTACTCAGGGGCCCTGTCTGTCCTATGCTGCTCGCTGAAGAGAAGTGTAGGATGACGGGAACGGGAGGCGTGGCCGCCTTATATACGGTGGGCTTGTGCACGCATTCAGGTAGGCCCTCCACGGGGCCGGCTACGTCTATAGAATTCTCAGTAGGTGAATGCTTGCATGATAAGGTAGTACCCATAGAGTCCAGTAGAGGGCTCCACCTGTGTTTATATAACAAGGGTTACCATACGTAACCCCTCGTTTCTTTGTATGGAGGACACACAAATAAACTCTCAGCAGTGCTGTCTCCAAAATGTTTTGGCGATTGTGGCACCGTCTTGAAATACTTTTGTGCAGAGAGGATAGTTTTGTTAGAGATTGTTAATCTTAAACTTCTACCTAAATATTGGAAACATATCTTGAAATACAAGAACATATCATTTAGTTTGCCTTTTAGTTGATGGTTTACCATTTCAAATGTGAGCTTCCATTGTTTGTGTGCCATCAGAACTGCAAAATAAATCAGGGTAGATGGATTTACCCTAAATAGAATTTCTACATTTTAATGGTGTGTTTCATTCATGTATACCTTTCCTAAAATAAGTTTTGTTTTAGGTCTGCGTTGTTTTGAATGCAACATAAGGCCACTGGGCTCACATGGGGAGAGAAAATGGCCATTATTCCTAACAAGTGTATGTTCAACTTCACAGTGTCATTAAATGTGACCAAAAGATGCAGGCGGTCTCATCACCAAAAAGCTTGAAGCCTTCTGTTGCACTGTTTATGTTTAGCATGTCATTTACATACTGAGTTCAAAAGTGCCAGTAATTGTGTGATGTTGCCAGTAGTTGCGTTGCATTGTTGTTAGTATTCATGTCCTGGTAGCTTGTTAAAATGATAGTATAGGGAACTGGGAGGCTGCTGCTCCCAACAAAATGACGTATTCATTTTTTGTATAACTTTCTCTTTTTCTTTAAAGTTATTTTGCTCAGTTACAATACAATAGCAAAAACGTAGTGCTTCAGTATGGAATAATTCAGTTGTATCCTGTTCATAAGAGAACATTGGCATGAAGCTGAACCTTCCCCTTGTTCAATCACTCAGCTTCATTTCAGTTTTGTGGTATTGATGTCCCATTATGTCTCAGTTCACAAAAAATGGCATCCTGTTTGTTTGACTGGGCCTTCATGCAAGGGCAGAGCGGTGCATCTGTCCTGTGGGCATTGAATTTACTTTTAAAAGTATTCCCAATGATAGTCAAGTGTTTACCGTGTACTTACTCAGCAAACTGATATGACACTGGCTTATTTGTCCCCTACAGCATTAAGATGGCTGAAATCACTTACCAGTAAAGAAGAGCGTGTGGATGGAAAACAGGAAGCCTATTTAGGAAAGCAGAACATATCCAGAGCCTTTTTTAGCAACAAAAAAAAACTTTGGAGAATGCATTTCAATAACCAATCTAAAATGTTTTGTAAGCCACGGGTTTGGACAGAAAAGAGTATGGTTCTGCATCAGCAATGCATAGCAGCAAGCGTAGCTTTTCTGACATACTAACTCAGGCTTTGATATGTAAACTGAAGTTTCTAACTGTCTCTCTCTATTTCCCCCTCTTCTCTTTGCCTCCCCACCCTTCCTGCTCTCTTTTCTTTCTTCCATCAGGGCGAAGTGGGACCCATGGGAAGGAAAGGAGAGGTTTGTCGAATTAGACTTCGCTGTATTAGATATAATCCATTCTGTCTTATTCTGCAGCACAGTGGAAAGCCCTGTCAAGGCTACACGGCTGCTATAGAAAACTAGGCAATACCTCCAGGCCTGGGGAAATCTGGCCCCCGGGCAAAATATACATCACAAAAGGCTTCTTTTCTAAAGGCGCATCAACTGCAATATCAAACACTTACAGTACTGTCTACAGAATCCCAATTGATGGAGATATAGCCTCCCTAGTGCCCATATTTACTGTTAAACCTGTCAAGATTTCCATTTCGGCATGGTACATTTGTTTCGAATAATTAGTCGGCAGATGTACTTTTATGTCTTATTTCTTGAAACAATGGGTGCTTGTAACCAGATGAAGGCAGCTTCTCTGAAATAACGACTGAAATGTTTATTCTCTAGAGAAATAAGCTAACTGAGCTAACTGCTGTCTTCTAACCTTTAATTGTTCTAGGCTTAATCGTTTTAAAACGAGACTCCTTTCAAATTTGTTTTTAATATGCATTTGGTATACAGGGACTGTGCTAACAAAGGCTAGAGCTACATGTCATCATGTGACTGCAACACAGGACATAGCCACTGTCCACTATTCCACGCAGTTGGAAAACTCTACATAGTAGATGTGCTTGTTATACAAAGATTGTTATTTGTGTTAACTGTAACACATCATCACCCTCCATGTAAAATTGTAAATTATATTCTCCTTCGTAGTTACACAGACAGTAACATCAAAACAACTTAACATTACTTTGCAGTAGCTTTAGCTGGACAAGCTAATGGTTGCAACTCATATTGGAGCAAACTAACACACTGTTTCAATCATTCCTTAAACATTTGCTTTTGATTTTGCCACCTTCCTTATTATGGTAGTTAAGCAATGTTGGAACAATGCTCCGCGGCAGGGCTGAACTTACTGTTTATTGATCATTATGAATAATATATTATACTGTAATTATTACAAAATAAGCCAATTTCAGCCTTTTTCTTTTTAATTTCTGATCTCGTGTCATCTCTCTTGTTTCTTCAGACAGGATTCACGGGTGACTTAGGCCATAGGGGAACTGAAGGGAAGAAAGGGGACATGGGCCACATGGGCCACATGGGTTCTCTTGGTCCCAGGGGATTTACTGGACAGGACGGGTTGCCGGGCCAACCAGGCCAACCAGGATATCCAGGGAAACCTGTGAGTAAAACTCCTCCCGACTGTATCCTCTGAGCAGATAAACAACAAAATAAAAGCAAAGAAAAGTAGACTGAAAGACACAGTCAGTCATTTTCTGTATGGATTGGGTGAGTTAGCTCTGGGAGTAATGGTAGCATTGCTGTCAGTGTGTGTGGGCTCTGTGAATACAGATAATGGAGCGTTGATAAGATCCTGTAGATCTGCAGGCACACTCAATCACAGGTTGAGCCTGTTTTCCCACTCCCATAGTGGATACGGCTGAATCAAAGTGTAATTGTGTGTTACAGGGCAAGCCTCCCTCAGATGAACATCTTCTGAAGCTCTGCACTGATGTTCTGCGTAGTAAGTATCTGTTTGCTTTTATGTCATTTTGCTGAGATCCACAGTATAAAAGCCTGGGTCTCAAATTCCCTCCTAGCACACATCAAATGCTGTTAAGAGTAGAGTTGTACAATTCACACAATTTCTTTCTTTAATTTACACTGATTATAAGATAATAGGGTTAAAAAGGTATCTGGTAAAACATTTAAGTAATAACTCTCTCTTGAAAGAGTTGCACAATGTAAAATAACCCAACATAATAATGGATTTATTAAGTTATTTCACTTTTTTGACAAGAATCTGAATGTAATTGTAAATCAGTAATTTAGTGGTTGCATTCTAAGTGAAGCAAAACTATGGGTGCTTTCGATTTGAACATGCCTACCCGCTTCCCTCAGTAATTTAATGCATCTTAACTCCTCACAACAATGATGCAATAGGTCGAAACCCATAGTAATATAGATACAATATTGTAATAACTGGTAATCCAATTATGTTATTGGTTTGTTGATGGGGACAGTTGCATTTAGCTGCAGCTATATGTGCATGACAAATATTTGAACCCTCTCACTTTGCCTATATGTTGAAAGATGAACTTGATAAAGCCCTTCATCTGAAGAAGAAAAATCCGGCAAAGTTACAGTAGAAAAAGTAATTTTCATTATATAAACAGATATGATCATGTTGACTTTATTGCTCTCTCTACAGCTAGTTTACAAAGTTTGCAGTGATGCTAGGAATATCGAGTGACATATTAGTCAATTTATTGTCTGAGCTCTAATTGGATCTTCCGCTATGATGGTCAACCTTGACCAATTTCAGGGTCATGGGAGCAATGATTGGAGGCAGCATAATTTGCTGACTGGAAAGCACCCAAGTTCTCTGCAGCAAACATGATTTACTACCGATTGTACGGAACTAACAGAGTCCTGAGAATTTCTAAATCTCCATTATTTCTTTGAATACTAAACAGAAATGAGTATGTCAATCATTACACCATTGTAGGATATATTCATACTCTGAATGTGCTTAGGCCAGCTATGAAAGCAATTTTGACAAAATATTTGATATCCAAATGGATAACTCAGCACATTTTGGCTGTGCCAATCAGATCATCTTCCATCACTGCTCCAGAGCCTGGTCCCCCAAGCCAAGTGTGAACCCTGCCAGAGTGTTAAGGGGACCCCGGGCGAGCCTGGAGCACAAGGACCCAAAGGCTCAATGGGAACTCAAGGCTACCCTGGCAGAGGTGGAAATCCCGGGTACCCAGGGCCTCCTGGAATGCACGGTCCTTTAGGCCTTAAAGGTAATATCAACCATAATGTTATAAAGGTAAAAATCAACATGGTTTATATTTTCTGTATTCAATTCCCCAGTGGTTCCACTATCTATAACAGTGACACAAATATTTTAATCATTTTCTCTACCCTAATTAAAACCAAAACTATGAACACAACACAACTTTGTAAAAGAGCTACAACAAAATGAACTGCTGCTTTCATCAACGATTAAAATCTAAACAGTGTCAACGACTAGTAAATTGGATGTGTTGATGTTCACTGTACCCCATAAAACAAGATCATTAACCATCGAACATCAGTGAAAGTCAGCAGAGCAAAAGACAACAACTGAATACAAACACATCTCAGAGAGCTGTCTTTGATTTATAACCACTTCAAGACAGGGAGTGGCTAATCAGCCGTGAAAGATGCCAAACTGTACCACACCGCTGCTTTGTTCCATGTTAACTGGTGACTTCAGGGGAACAGCCACTTCAGAGGTATCAGCCTGGCTGAAAACACCAAGGGAAGCGACTGAAAGCTGGACTTGAAGATGAGAGGTTTACTGAAAATATCTGAAATTGGAAGCATTTTGAAGTTAGAAAGAGGTGAAAATGTACCATCCTTGGAAGGTCTACTAAAACACCCTATCAAGTTGGATTATGGAAAGTGAAGGATCCAGCAATTGGAGCTTCTATAATGACACTAGGGAATAAAACTGGATATGGAGGCTTTTTCTTCCATTCTGACTGCTCTGGGGATGGCAATGCTGGATGGTCTTTCTGTCAGTCCATGACTTTGGTCCAAAGACAAAATCCTATTTGTTTTGCTATTTACCTGACTTTTCCTGACCAGCAAATCAAATGTATTAACCAACAATATTTTGTATATACTTTTGTCTGTAAATATATGAACATCTAGTACTGTATACAGTATATATTTGGTAAATATATTCAGGGTTTTAGATGATTAATTTGTTTGAGTCATTAGGAGATTTTCAGTTTGCATTGAAAGTACCCTTGCAATATAATTTAGTAAAGATATTCCCTAAGGATGAATTGTAATCACTATAAGAACTCCATAACTGTTCATTCAGGGCCATCAGATTGAACTTTTAATGTTTACAACACTTTGGTTTACAACTATCACCTGCATAATGAATGACAGTTCTATCAGCCTCAGCTGCAGTTTGTGTGTACAACTAATTAGCAAATGATAGCATGATAACAAGCTAAATTGGGATCGTGGACATTGTAATCTGCTTAACATCATCATAATTGCTTTGTCATTGTGAGCATTATATCCGTATTTAGTTTAAAGCACTGTTAGGGCTACTACAGCTCCCCAGGGCTTGGCTGTAGACTCTTCTAGTCACGTTATATCCTGCAGAGAATTTTGAGCCACCCATGATTTCACAATTCTTTAAATCTATGGCAAATACTTTTTCCGATAACAATGTAAAACCGAACCTTCTTTGTCCACAATGGAGGTAACTTTAACCCAAAAAATTCCTTTGGATAATAGGGTTGAATAAATCAGTCGGTGAAATAAATTGCTGTAGTGTTACCTTTTAATAAAATCCCGCAGTCAAGGATTGGAAATAGCTGCTTTAGAGGGATAATAGCCTTTCGGTTTCTCAAAGCTCATTTTTTAAAAAGCTTTCATGTAAGGTTTTAAAGCATATATATTATTTCCCTCAGGTGACCTGGGACCAAGAGGGCTTAAAGGCGGCAAAGGTGAAGGTTACATTGGACCTCCAGGACCACCTGGACAGCAAGGTATGCAAAAAACCCTTTTTCTTTTTTGTCTTTAAAATGTCTTCACCCATTAAGTTATTTCCGCAACTTTACCAGGGTGTTCTGACATTTGGCATTTCCAATCCGTGAATTTTTAACTTAAGTGCATCAAGGCTGTTTCCTCTGTTACATTTTTAATGATTATGTGGGTGGATCCTGTTTTTACTTAATTTTCAATGAGATCTCTAAGTGACAGCTCAGTAGGTGGGGTGTACAGACAGTGAGTGCTGAATTTCTCTGGAAGCTATAATAGCTTATTAATTCATGAGTAGATGTAATTTATGATCCAGCATGTGCTATTTTTAGTTAATAGAGCAAGAACTATGACCTCATTTAATGGAGCTCTCTTGCCATAAATGAGGCAGAAGTACCAGTTAAAGCCGTTTTTTAGCTTTCTTTATCATTGCAGGAATTCAGGGTCCACGTGGCTTTGATGGAATCGGCCATCCAGGAAATGAGGGAATTCCTGGAAAACCAGGGCCTCCAGGAGTTCTTGGTAAACGGGGCAATCCAGGACTTCCAGGGGTTTGTGATGTTTCCATGTGTTATCAAAACTACAACCTCAGGGAACATTACAGCAAAGGACCCAACATCTGATGACTAAGAAGCAGGGGAGAGGATGCTATTGAACACAGGGTGTTTCGAGAATTTACTGTATCACTGTTTTACAGAGATGTGTATGACTGTTGACTACTTTATGACAAAGTGTGCGTGTGGAGATCAGCTGCACTGGAGGCAGAAATAACCTCATTAGTTGAGTTAAAGTGAAATAGGCAGGGCATCAATTCTTGATTATGAAATTCATGATCAAAGACAGTCAGCACGCTAGCAACCGACAGTTTCTTACTGTGATACCAGACTTACATGGCTAATTTATTCTTGCCAAGTTTGAAAAGCAGCTTACGAAAGTGGGGTTTCATTCTAAGTAAGTCAGGTAAGCACCAAGATTTTTATAACTAAGTTGTGTTGTTTTTGTGTCAATAGCAGGACAACTAGGATTTGAAATAACTTTATGAATAGCTACCTCCTCTTTTACTCTATGTTTAAGTCAATGTTACTGAAGGTTTTGTTAATACTTTGGATTAATCCCTCTTCCCATTTCATTTCAGTGCAAACAACACACAGACACATTTCCTAAACAAAATATATAAATGATAAAATAATGATGAAAGTGTATTTTAAAAAGGATGAAAGGACCTTTTGCCCTCCTGTGTGAGCTAATGGGGCAAATCATATGATGCATTCTACTCAGAACCCATGCAGTAGAATTTCAGTATGTGAAGTGTTCCTTAATTAATTAATAATTATCAATTTATTCCAGAATATGAGTCATATTAAAACTGCATATAACTGTATACTATGACAGAAGTAGATAACACTCATGCTGTGCTTGAAGGCTGTGGATCCAATTGGCTTCATCAAAAGAGGTCCATATCAACCAGTGAGATATTATTCCCTCCTTCAGTGCAGATCTGACCAAGAGAAATTATTATCTTCAAATTATGTAAAAAGTACAGTACACTCCCTAAAAATCCATTTGGAAAAGTCACAATGAAAGAACAGGACACACAATTTTCACATGATTACCTTGCAAAAAGTAATCATGCAACCTTAAAGTTAATAAATATATGAGAAATGACAGCATTCTGGTTGAAAAAGCATATTCTATGATCTATTATTTATGGAGCACCAGGAGTTATGTAATCCATCACTGTGAGACATTGTAAGAAACATGTTACTGTATATCTTGTCCAATCATATTTGTTTTGTTATTAAGCCAATATTATAGACTTGTATTTGCATTGCTCCCGTGTGTGTTTTACATTGAATGATCAAACAGTGATCTTAAAAGCAATTTATTCTAGGCTTACAGTTTTTTTTATTTTTGTTTTTATCTTCAATTATTTTTGTTTTTATCTTCAACTTGGTCAGTACTTTATGCTAACATCCCAGAATGCAATGCATCGCATTTTTTTTGTTGCAATAATTATGGTTGTACAACTATTAACATGTAATGATGAGGATAAACTATGATGATTTGTAAATGTCGTAAATGTCAATTCGCTGCTTTATATTGACTAAACCATTGGGTATTTGGGGAGAAGTGACTGAGTGAACAAACATTTCTGACACAGCGCATATGTCACCAAATAGCACCCCATAATTAAGACTCATCTGTGGCCTGTACTTGTTGCTGTAGCTCTGTGCAGTGTCCTGAAATATGATTGGCTGCCTGGAAGGTTGTATAGATCCAATCTTGCTTGAAAAAAAAAAAGATTTCCTAGTTGTATTTTGTTCATTCAACTGCTTTTCCTACTTGTTTTTCTGTATGATAGGACCAACTATGACTATTATCTGCATATGTTTACTTTAGTAAAATTATACAGTTGGCCCACAATGTGACCAAACTGATTTATTTTTTGAAATTGTTATCAATGCTTAAAGACTCAACTCATTCAGAGTATTTTACATTTCTCTGTTTTCAACGAGTCAAATGAAAACTACAGCCACAATGATATGGTCCTCTTAAGCAAATTTACAAAAGGGATTCATTGAAGCTGTGTGTTGGCAGAAATGCCACATAAGTAAGAACAGGTCTATGTACATTTTTTATAAATAATAAAACAGTCTGTTTACAAGAATGAAGACAGGATGTGGTTTGTTATTATTTTCACAAATTCAAAAGTCTGTTTTTCCATCACCATTTATGGAAAGTGTTGGTGGTTATGTGCTAAATTGCTTTAGTCCCAGTTTCTCAAGAAAAGGGGAACTCAATGTATGGTGAGGACTGATAAGACTTACATGTCAAAGACTTGGAACTCTTCCAAAGGCCTTGTAGAGGAACAAGCGGGTTAGCACCTCTCTCTAGGGTTTAGTCTTCAGAGTGGCTATTTCCAGACTTGTTGCTCTCAAACTGTAATTTTGGACTTGCCAAAATAAGCTTGACAGGTTTAAAGAATCTGTAAGAGAAGCAAGCCACATGTTATCATTCAAGTCTTAAAAAGTAGGAAGAATTCAGGCATGTGTCAAGCAAATACAGTCCTACTGGAAGAGTTATGATTTAAGTGTGACAATCCTACTGCTTATTGCTAAAAATATTAAATGACTTTATTGTATGCTGCCAAATGATGTGTATTGCTTACTTTTCCATTTAAATGTTTGCAACCATTATGTCACTTACATTTAAAAGGTTTATAAAAGAAAAAAGAAAAGAAATCTCAGGCTTTATATAGCAACACATAGAGGCTGCCGCCTTTATGAAATGCCTAAACTATAAATAGTTTGATGAAACATTAATGATTTTGCTATTCATAGAGACTCCAGTAGTGTACGTATTCCCCAGATACTCCCATAAAAGCATTGGTTCATTCAAATGATCAAAGTCCATCCTCTGGGGAATGTACTAAAGAAATACAATTATAGGATCTTTCTTTTTTTAAACTTGACCTGAACTAGAAGACTTAATTATGCCATCTGTTTTTAATCTGCCTTTGGTGAGTTAAAGGTAATCTGGTGTTCTTTAGTCGATGAGTAGTGCAGATATCACTGTCAAATCAATCGACAGTAAGGGGAATACTTACTTCCGTGTGTACAATTCTCCGTTATCCAATGGGAATGGACGTTCACATTGCCTTTAAGAGCTGCCGACATAAATGGATGCGGTGCTTCCCTAAGCGTCAAATACCGCCGCCGATGGGAATATTGCAATCAGTTGAAAGCTCTTTGCGTCCGTTTATGAAGCTGAAGGAGCCTCGGCGCGTCCCAACTGCAAGCCAAAGGACCCTGACCAAGCGTCGCTATTGGACTATCAGGGAGTGAGACTGTGTTGACCCTGTCAGCAAGCCTTCCATAAATAATATAAAATGTAAATTTTCAGAAAGCTACAGTCCCTTTACTTTTTCCATTAACTGAAATATATTTTTGAGAAAGGGACTATAGCTTTCTGAAAATGTACATTTTATAATCACTATGTAATTACAATGTATTTATTCTTTGTCATTTTGTCCATTACATGGTGGATACATTTTGCTTTTTGTCATGTACTTGCAGTTAATTTATAAAAAGTAGTGGGAG